TAACTATCAAAGATAGATTTAGGTATATTTCTTGTAATTATCCCTTTAAAAAGCCTTGTCACATACCTCTGAACTGTTGTGATTTTAGCCTTAAAACCTCATGAATTATATTGGGGCAAAAAAGACAAATGACGATCTTGGACTTTCCATAGTCGAACCTCAGAGCAGTATGATTACATGATAAGAGAATGACATGGGTTTTGGTAATTCACAGTGTTCCAGGGTCAAAAATTTAGATTTTTTTCTTTATTAAATAATATGTTTAAGGGTCTTAGTATATTTTTCAAATTCTCAGAGATCATTTTCAGCAGTGTTTACTTAATTTTGTTCTCTGTCTATGCTTATGTTTTTATGACACGTCTTTTGATTATGGAATTAAAAAAAATGGTGGTAGGAGGATAAGGCATTGCTTGACTAGGACAGATTAGGAGTTACAATAGATGAGAAATTAAATGAGGAAAATGAGTAATGAGAGAAAGAAGAGAGGTAGAAGGAAAATTGATGGGCCTACCATTTACTTAGCTTTGCAAATCATCTATGACATTTTAAGTAATGGTTTTGGTGGCCAAAGGCAGAAACAACTGTCATGGGAGCCTCAGTCTATAGGCAGTGACTTACTTTGGATTGTATCGTTGTCAATGGTTGTTACTGGGAGTCCTTATGATGGCCACTGGGTGATCTTAAGAACTAGGTATCAAATATTTCAATCATATTGTGGAAGAAAGTTGGTATGGGATATTACTAACCTGAACTAAGCATAGTTCTCTCCCACTAAACCAAAAATAGACCCGTTCCATAAGGTTAAATTGGGGTGACTATAATTATTGTTAACAATTCTGTATTGAGTATATATAGATACCAGAGTCTTAAAAAATTAATTCATTTACTTCTCAAAAGAGTGCTGTCAGGTAGTTACTGTTTCTACTTGGAGAGATGAAGGAACAAATTCAGAGCTCAAGGAACATTTTCAGCTTTAAATTTAGAAGCTGAGATTTGAACCCAGGTCTGTTTGAATCCAAAGCTAGTGAGTGCTCTTTCCACTCTGCTGCTCTGCTTCCATTTGGAGGAAAATCTTCAGAATGAATTCCATTATTTTTTGTTAGTTATAAAACTTTAACTCTTTTCAAATGCCAGGGCTTCTCTAAGAGTATATACATGAAATGGTTGTGGTGAATAGTTTCTTTTGTGGAGAATATGTAAATTCACCAGTTTGTAAAAACTCAATCCTCTGAGTCCTCTTTCCCCCTTTTCTCAGAGACTCAGGAATTCATTTAACTAGATGCTGTACCTTGCCAAAATCTCTTTGCTGGATAACAAAGGCCATGGTTCAGGGCAGCAGCTGCTGACAACTACCAGGTTTTACTTTGTTAATTGTTGGCAATAATTCCCAGCTACTAAGCCCAGCAATGTAGATAAATGTGAGACCTGGACCATTTTTCCTATACCCCTGCTTTATTTGCTCTTGGGAGATTATAATGAAAACTGAAATTAACAACCTCTATCTTTAGTTCACATGTTTCATAGTTAAGAAGGTACATTCTTTCTAAAATATTTCCATAGGGACCAACAATTGATGCCATTATACAGTTTATTGTTAGAGCACTTGAGCTTAAGTATCTTAAAGCAGCCTTCTGTTTCAAACTTTTTAAGGACTTTATAGGGTACTGAATCTTTGCCATACTAGTTGGGAAATGTCTCAGAATACGTACAGCAGTAGTAGCAGAATTAACTTCTCACATTGTCCCCCACTATTCTCCTTCAAAGCAATATAAAACAACCCTTAAAAATCTTTTTCTCACTTTGTAAGTTATATAAATGTCTAACCACTATGTTGTACACTTCAAACTAATATAATATTAAATGTCAAATATAATTGAAAAATTAAGAAAATAAAAATAGAGAAAGAAACCTCAGATCTTTTTCTGAGTTTATGATTTGGATTATGAGAAGAATAGGATATCTTAAAATTTTCCCTTCTGGTCATTTTGTTTTATAAACACTTAATGGAACTTAGCATGGATGTTCATATTCAAAACAGCTTTCATGATAGGCACCATAAAAATTCAGAACTGGGCTGAGGCTTTCTGCTTTATTCACATATTTATGTTATAATCAGTTCATAATATTTCCCTCCCCCATTTTTATGAACTATATTCCAACAAGTAATCTGATTGATGATACCTGGCCCTTTTACTCTTTCCCTGTTTTATTTACTCTTGAGAGGTCCTTATATAAGTATTGAAAGCTTGAAAGAAACAAACCTAGGTACCAGCAATGTTGGCTTTATCTGAACTGAAGTCTTGTACTTCACTTGCACATTTAATATGTGTAATGGTTTTTTAAATGAAATCATTCTAGGTACAGTGATTGTACAACCAGAGCCAGTGCTGAATGAAGACAAAGATGATTTTAAAGGGCCTGAATTTAGAAGCAGAAGTAAAATGAAAACTGAAAATCTCAAAAAACGCGGAGGTAAATACAAGTGAAAATGAAAACATGAGTTTAAATTGCTGTTTATGACCATATTGGAAAAT